CCCTCTCCCCATCCCCATCCCGCTCCCGCCCCGGTGCCGGTGTCGGTGCCACCCGGCCCGGCGCGGCCGCACGTACCCGCTCCTGGGCGCGCCGCTTCCGCCTGAGGGCACCGAGCCCCCTGACTGACGCACGCTCTGGCCAATCAGAACCGAGCGCTGCGCATCAGCCGGGGGGCTGGGTGAAGGTGCAGCGCTGTGATTGGCCAAATGAGGCGCTACACGCCACGAGCCCCGCCTTTTCCCGCTCGGGCGGGAAGGGAAGGGGCGGGGCCAGCGTGCTCCCGCCTTTTCCTCCGGGCCACGCCCCCTTCCCCTCACGGCCGCCTCACGGCCCCGCCATGGCTGCCTCCTCACGGCCCCCTCACGGCCCCCTCAGGCCCCAGAGCCGCCTCCCACACGGCCATGAATGACCCCCGGCCTCTTCCGCTGCCCCACGGCAACAGCATCATATTGTCAAGCGCGTCCAGTGTTGAAATAGATTAATTTCACCCCTACATGATTTTTAAACCTCAGTCCGGTGTCTGGTTTAATGAATCTAAACGGAATTAATAAACACTGGTAAATTCTAATTCATAGGATCAGTCACGAAATGGTCTGGATTGGAAGGGAACCTACTGGACAAGCAATATGGGGGTAAGAAACATGTCAATAAACTCATCATGAAACAACCCATCTAAAACAGCAAAACAGGTGACAAAAGACAGACGGTGAATAAAATCTCTGGGCAAAGAGAAGAACTGGATCAAAGCCAGCATTTTGAGGATTAGAGGGCACATCTCACACACACGGAATTAAAAGAATCAGATTGTTCTCAAAGTCTTCTTTTCCTCCTTTTTTAACCTTACATGTACACACTGGTCCATCAAGCCCAGAGACACCACACACCCTGTTCCCTCAGAGGGAAACCTTCTCCCACTAAGAATAAAGATTTATCACTTATGTATTTCTTTTACAAGATGCCCTGCTCTTGCTTCTCCTTTATTCCTCCTCCTCAGAGCCTTCTCTGTATCTCCACATTAATCCTGAGATGTTACTGCTCTGAAACACAGAAATCAGCAGGATTCCACATTTACAGTGCCTAGAGAAGGGAAGAATTTCTTCTCAACACTGAGTTTAAATCTTTATTTCAAGCCATTCCTACTTGTCCTGTTGGGCAAGAAACAGAATCCTCACCCTGAGAAAAACTGATACCTCAAATATTGTATCTTCATAATATATAAAATTATAGATGCATATAATCTTTTGTCTTCATATTAAGATGTCACTTAAGCCTTTCAAGCCACAAGATTAGACCAAGAAACAGGAATAAAGAAAGTGTTTTTGGATCTGGGATCAGCAATGATTGCACCCTTTTTCACAGTCATAAAATAACATTTATCAAATTCAAATTAACATTCCAGTGACAGCCAAAAAAATTCCTTCTGAAGCCATTCTCTCCTGGGTTTTCTGTGTGCAGTAGTTGATATTCCTTAGTATTGACTAAACACTGCTCTTAAGGTTTTGTGAGCTCAAAACAAGATTGTAGACAACACTGAACTCCTCTACATACCTGGGGAAAATAAAAGTGGATTTTTTTTTTTCCCATTGTCACTGTAAATGTTGCAGAAGTGGATTTTTGTGCCTGGGAGCTTTTGATGACATCAGTCAAAAGGCTGATTTAAAGTACCTCGGTTAGGTCACAAGTGTCCCATTTAAAACCAAGTGGTTGTAAAAAGAACATAAAAATCCCTCAGTCTGCTGATTCACCCTTTATGGCACCTCTGATATGCAAAGTGCTGATGTTTCTTTTTGAGCCAAACTGGGTCCCATTTCCTGCAACCTGGTTTCTCCTTACCCTTGTGCCATGAATTCAATTTGCTCCTGAAATCCCCCACTGGATTTGTCTGAACAGCAATTCTGATCCAATTCCTGCAGATCATGAGAATCAAAATTGTGGGGTTTTCAAGAGTATTATGTCAAAGGACCTTCAGAAAATTATCTTTAATTAACAATTTTCAGTATAAACAAGAATAAACGATGGAAGTAAACATTCATACACAGCTGCTGGGACCAGGCTGGGAGAGCTGGGGGTGCTCAGCTGGAGAGGAGAAGCTGCAGGGAGAGCTCAGAGCCCCTTGCAGGGCCTGAAGGGGCTCCAGGAGAGCTGGAGAGGGACTGGGGCCAAGGGCTGCAGGGCCAGGAGCCAGGGAATGGCTGCCAGGGGCAGAGGGCAGGGCTGGATCTTGGGATCTTGGGCAGGAATTGTTCCCTGGCAGGGTGGGCAGGGGCTGGGATGGAATTGCCAGAGCAGCTGGGGCTGCCCCTGGATCCCTGGCAGTGCCCAAGGCCAGGCTGGACATTGGGAGCTCCTGGGACAGTGGGAGGTGTCCCTGCCATGGCTGGGAGTGCTCACCAATAAATAAATTACCAAGACCTCTTTCTGTGTTAAAGATGCAAAAATTGACTGGTGCACAGGTACAGTCCAAGCCAACATCCAGAACCCTCCCTTCATAGCCACTGAATTTAACCTTAAAGAGGTGAATGTACTTTTAAAAAACATGCAGGGAACCTGCTAAAAATTCATGAGCTGTAAGTACTGAAATAAGAGTACAAAGGTCAAACAGGGCACAGCAAGATGCTTGCCTCCACTCTGATGTGTTTTTCGTATGCCTCTTTCCCCTTTGAAACGAGACTGTAAAAGTGATTACAGTCTGTGCTGAAGTGAGGCATTAATTTGGATTTCAGCAGAAGGAAAATGACCTGCAAGGGAAGAACTGATCTGTTGCTGCTGTGGTTTAAGCCCCCAGGGGTGGGGAGGTGTGAAAGGCACAAAAGGTGCTGTGCAAACCCTGCCCAGCAATAAAAACACCCTGGAATGGTCGGCACTGCCTCCAGCCCAAATCAAACACCCAAACTAACGATGACAAAAAAATAACTCTACCACAACCCAAACTGGCACATTTCATTTAATAATATTTAAAAATAATTGAGTTATTTGTAATGCAAATGCTCATCACACAATCAAATTTCCTTCAAGCAGGGTGACAGTGTGGATTTCACATTTTCACTGAACCTGAAATTTCTCTAGTGCGATATTTTATTAATAAAGTGCATTCAAAACCTTGATAAGAGGAATTAGCATGAAATTATTTCGGTGTAAGTTTTAACCACTTCAAAAGAGAAGACTTCCACCCAAACCTTTTGCCCTCTTCCCCCTCATTTTCCTTCGTGTCTGAATCAGAAACCTTTTCCACGACAGCCTCGTAAGTCTTTCGTGCTCGGAGGATTTCCTTGTCCATGCTGAAATGCACCATTTGCCTGCTGAGAATGGGCACCACCAGGTTGAAGTTGTCAACTCTCTTGTTTAATTTCCTGATGTCTTCCTCGAACTGCTCGCAAATCCGACCCCACTGCTTCTGCTCCGACAGCGTCATGGGCTCCCCGAGCTTCCTCCTGGAGGCCACGATGCTGTTCCTCAGCCGCTCGATGGTCTCCCGGATCTCCTTCTGCAGCAGGATCCACTCGGGCTGGTACCCGTTGTCGATGAGGATCCTGTTCAGGTTGTGGGTCATGGGGTCGATGTGGGGACTGTCCGAGAACTTCTGCAAAGGCTTCCCCTTGCCGCTGAGGTTGTCGAAGTCTCCTTTGGCCATGGATTCCTGGATGAGGTCCTCCACCAGCCGTTCCACCGCCTGAGTTATCTTCACCTTCTTGCTCTGCCGCACGTCCTTGGCTCTGCTGAGGTCGCTGCCGGCGTAGCGGCTCTCCAGCCTCTGCTGCCGGTACTCCAGCACCTGCTCGGTGGCGCGGTCCACGCGGAACTGCATGTACTGCTTCTCCCGCTGGCTCGGCGTGCCGATGCCCACGCCCTCAAAGCTCAGGTAGTGTCTGTGCTGCAGGGACTTGGATTTGAACTGGTCCTCCTCCTCCTCCTCAGGGTCTGATTTCTGTTTGGCTGCCAGGTCGCTGAGCACAACCCTGTAGGCCTCCTCCACCCTTATGAAGGCCTTGGAATCAGCCATGCCGGAGCTGCTGTCCGGGTGATATTTTTTGGCGAGATTGCGATAGGAGTTTCTGACATCATCCATGGAACATCCTTCCTCGAGCTCCAGAATTTTGTAAGAGTCCTTGACATCGTTTTTGGGTTTGTAACTCGACAACATCCTGCAGAGAAACGGCTTCAGCTTCCTTGGGATCATGGCTCCCCGTCCCATGAAACAATGTCCCATGTTGTTAGGCAGCATGACACAAAGCCACTGGGGATTTCTTCAGATGCAGCTACATTATAAAGAACCTACAGACACATTTGTACAAAAAACATGTTAAATATCCTTTTTTCTAAAGAACTTCCAGGGCACAAGTCATATCTTTAGCCTGATATATTAAAGAAATCTCTACTAAAATTCAGCAGTATTTTTTTCTTTTTCAGACTTATATTGAAATCACAGAATTACAGAATGGTTTGGGTTAGAAGGGACATGAAAGGCCACCCCATCCCAGCCCTGCCACGGCAGGGCCACCTCCCACTGTCCCAGGTGCTCCCAATGTCCAGCCTGGCCTTGGGCACTGCCAGGGATCCAGGGGCAGCCCCAGCTGCTCTGGCAATTCCATCCCAGCCCCTGCCCACCCTGCCAGGGAACAATTCCTGCCCAAGATCCCATCCAGCCCTGCCCTCCTTAAGCTTAAAGTCATTAATTTACATTTCTAATTAATTACTATTGAAGTAGTAGTATTACAATGTAAATGAAAATCAATTCACCATTTACATTTTCTGGTATGACAACAGGAACACAGGTTTGTTTTGCACTGCAGAATTCCCTGGAAGCATTTTTATCGCCTTTATTTTTCTATTATTTATTTTATTGCAAAATAAACTTTCACCAAACTCATGCCAGCGTAAACTGGAAATAAGCTTGATGCTGAGCAACAACTGCTGAAACAAATCCCTCCCTTTTCCTCTGTACCTACATTCAACAATTTCCTACTCCCTTGGATCAAAGCCTCTACGACCTGGTACGTTCTCAAAGGAGGTCATCACAGCACGATTTCGGTATTTCACAGCAACATCTGGATCAGACTCAGGTTACAGATTCATTTAGTTCAGCCTTTGTATCCCAGCAGTGGCCAAACTGGCATAAACCTGGAACTCAGAGCAGATCGATAGCAGTCAGTATTCCCTCTGTCAGCAATTCCAGTGATTCTGGGTTATCCAGGGACACAGCCAGGGCAATACCTCTGCAGGTAACAAAGTCAGTCCTTATGTAAAACCCAAGTGGAAGATTGTAACACTTAACTGCACACACCGGTTACACATCAGCCAACTCCTCTCTATTCATGGAAATCCTTAAGAAAATGCTGGATCAGTGGAGCTAAAGACATAGAGAGAGCAACATCTCCTTTGCTCGCTCCGTTTTCAAACAAAAAACTAGGTCAAATCCACTCCTCCAGGTTAATAAAAGAATAACCAGCACTTATGTCTTCTGTACAAACCAAATTGCCCTTCTGCCCTAACCCAGAGAAGGAAAACGACAAGAACTTGGGACTAGATCAATCCTCAATGTTTTCAGCTGGCTTTGATTCATGTAAGGTAATAGGTCAGCAGCTTGTGATAATGGAGCTCATTAACACGTTGTATTTATGATCCGGTGATATCATTCCGTCTGGGTGGCGGACAAACACCTGATTTTTATATGGCCATAAAACCCCCTGTAACTACTTAACATACTTAAACATGATCATACTTAAAAATTATCAATAAACACAATAAATACACTTTCTAAATTTCTAAATTCAATTATTGCTCCGAAAGTGACCTTCTTGTAACTCGTTAGCCCCGATTTCAATAAACTTATTCTTAAAGAACCGTAAGTAGAACCCTCACCTCCCGAGGGGGCCGGCTGGAAAAGCAGGGGGGTTACTCCCTGGAAGAGTGAACTGAGAGATCCCCGCTGGGATTTGGGAAGGGGGGACGGATGAGGCCTCCCCCAGGAGCCAGCCCCGCTCCCGCCCTCCCTGCTCCGCAGGG